GCCCATGAATGTGTGGGCCAAGCTGGCTTCTGAGAGAACACCTTCCATTGTTTTGCTGATCCATTGTGTTTTGTAAGGCTGATCCAGTCAGACCGCTTCGTGTTTACTTCTCAGGTGAAAACCTCACGAGAGCTCAGGCTCCTTTTTGCTTGTTGCCTTTTCCTTTGCCTTGCAATTTGGGAAGCTGGCGTTCAGGAATCGCTTTTGATTTTTCACCAGGCCTTTACATGGAACAAGGGCCCGCTCAGAACGTGATCCTTTTGCATTGATTGTGACAGACTGTGTGTCGCGTTCTTTGTTCAATCAGTGGGGCATGGGGCGGTGGCGGGATGGCTGCAAACTTCCAGCTACTGCCTGCTGTGAATGAATTGAGTGATGATGATGTTGCAGCCCCTTCAGTCCCAGCCCCTTCCAATCCAAAGCCCAAGAGGCAGAAGCCAGCTGCCGTGACCAAATCTATGATTGAGCGGTGTTTGCTGAAGGTGGTGCAGATTTCCTGTGATTGCCAGAAGCAGCGAGCGCGATCAAGGCGTACACGAAGTTGCTTTGCCCCGTTCAAGGCAAATAGTAGAGCCTTTCATGACCTAGTGGCTTTGCGGTTTTCATGGAGCAGTCTTCATAAGCTGGATGCTGACAACAAGGTATGGCTTCAAAAGTCGTGTTGCTTTCCTTTTCTGACCGATGAATCGGTGTCTTTAATTTTGGAACGTGTGGAATTCCTTCTGCGCTGCAGGTGATTGGTTTGCTCCGAGAGTGCTTGCAAAGAGTAAATGATGAGTCAGGGACGGGCAGGGTGAGATTGACGTTTTTTGGGCATCAGGTGTGCAGGCAGGCGCTGAGAAGCTTGTTGGGCCTGGGCTCATCGCGTTGGAGACGGTTGTTGGGATGCGCGAAACACAAGACTGAAGCTCCAATGGATGGACGCTCGCTACCCCGGAAGCATGCACACCCAGATGGTGACAAAGCGCTGAACCGACAACTGTGCTTGGAGTTCCTGGCTGAACTGCACCAGACCTTGTCAGAACCGATGCCTGAAGTGAAGGGTCGTTTAAGATGCCCCAAACTTCAAGCATTTCGTCGCCATCCTGGCAAACGTCCAAAGCGACCAAAGCAATTCCCTACGCCTCCTTCAGGCCAGGTGGAGGAGAACTTGGAATCAATGCGAGTTTTGCCACCGGGCAGCTTCAGCGATTACCTTTCAATGCTCAGAACAAGGTACCCTGAACGGCGCATCAGCTTGAAGCTATTCTTGGCCGTTCTTGGGCATGATCATTAGTCACAAAGTGTTTATGCGCCGCTAGTTTTCAGGTTTTGTTTATTGCGTGGTAGGTTCACTAGCAACGCCTTGTGGTTTTGGCAATTCCTCAGGTTTGGTCAGAAAGCTTTCGCTCAAGGCTGAGCATCAGAGAGAAATCCAGACATGCAGCCTGTTCAGTGTGCATAAAGCACAGGCTGATACTGAAGCAACTGACTGGTGATCGTGTAGCACATCAACGACAAACAGAGATGTATGGGCAGCACATTGCTGCCCAATATCGGGACAGGTGCACCTACTGGGAGGCCCGGTCACTGTCACGCATCAACCTGATGCAGTCCGGATCACGCTTCATATGCGTGATTCTGGACGGTATGGACAAGAGTAAATTCCGACTACCCCGCTCCTTATGCATGGGAGCAAAGGAGTTCCAAACATTTGCTCGGCCAGCCCTTGATGTCCATGCATTACTGTGCCACGGGCATGCAACAGGAGTCTTTTTGAGTGACCCGATGGTACCAAAAGATTCCAGTTGGTGCATGGACCTCTTGTTTGGTATGACGCACAAGATCGGAGAGTTCCACGACCTTCGCTTCATAAGCTTGGCAATCCAATGCGACAACGCCTCTAAGGAGGTAAAGAACAATACGACCCTACGGGGTCTAGCGTACGTCATCGCCAACAGGAGACTTTTTTCTGCAGAGGTTAGATCCTTGAGGTCAGGACACTCACACGAAGACGTTGATGGCTTCTTCGCACAGCTCAACGCAGTCCTGGAAGCTAGGAACGAGTTGCACACGCCTCAAGAATTTCGCGATGCAATCGATGGATACTTGCAGCTTCCAACGACGCGCCCAGATGATTCCTCGATCAAGTGCACGCAAGTCCTCAATAGTGTGAGAGACTGGCTGCTCGACTTTGGACTAGCTTCTGACTGAATCATATCTAATGTCAGGCGCCACGCTTGTTTTGCAGACCAGACATTAACCAAGTAAGCGAAGTAGTGCAGGAAACTTTTTCTGTGGCTGAACGGGGTCAGGAAACCCTTTCTCCAGATCAAGTGCTTGGGCAACCACCTGAAAGGGATCGGGGGGCCAGCTGCCCCCCACACCTTTGTTTTGCAGAGATTCAGCGATACAGGCTGGACTTTCTCCATTTTCTGATTGAAAAGCAAAGTTGTTCACAGTTCGCAGGACTCCGGCGGAGTGATGTTGACAGCCGTTTCTGGAAGAAACGCATCAGGGGTGATTTTGAAGATGATGCAGATGTAGTCCTCAGGAAATTAGCCAGAGAAACCATCGCTATTTTCCTATCACAGTTTTCCTCACTATATCATTCTCTATCGCAACTTCTTGCAGGACACGCCAGTACATGGCAGATCCTTCATACACAGGACGCCCGCTGCTGTATTTGCCAGCAGTGCTTGCAAGACGGATTGCGGCTGAAGAGCCCTTACCTCCACGTTCTTCTGGCATGTCTTGCCGTCACAGTGTTAGTTGAGTCGCTCAGTTTTTCTGTGCCAGTTCGGGTTGCAGACCGAGAAAAAGAACCCAAAGTCCACGAGAATTTGATGAAGTTTGCAGGAATCATGCGCTGCAGACTCAGTGTTCAGTTGTGAAGGCTTTCTTGGAAACAACCCTGAATTGGGCCAAGGGCAGCCGCCGTTTAACATGGACAAATGTGCGGACCACTTGGAGTCGCTGGTTCATGGAACAGTAGATCGTGGCGAGCCTTTGGACATCGGAAGGACTGGTGTTGACATGTGTTGAAGTTCCTTCAGCTGTATCAATTATACATTTTTCAGGATTCTACCTACTGTTGGCCCTGCAGTGGGTCTTGGATTGGCTGGGAGAGGCCAGCAGGCTGTCAGGTTGGAGCCAGATTCTCGAACGAAAACAATTTGTCATCGGATATGTTTCGCAAGCTTTGATTCACACGGCCCCAGCCATTGTGTGTTATCCTCCCTCCTATTCCTTGTTGCCTGAACCTTCCCCTTCCTCCAGAAGCCGCTTGCTTTTGCTGCCGCTAGCCGGTAAAAGCGACTTGGCGACTTACGCAAACTCTCAGGATCAACCTTTGCATGTTCAGCGCTCTAAAACTGGAGCATTCATTGTGAAGCTGACGCTGCCCGCAGCGCACAGTTCAGAAGGGGTCACTGCAGACGGTGCCCGGGGTCCTGTGTAGAGTATTCTCTACAGCGCTTTGCGTTCTGCAAACATGCTGGGAGCGTTTATCTCTGAACCTGCTCGTAAAAAAAAAGGTGGGCCAGTAGTGGAACCTCTGGCGTACTTGGCCACATTGTTGGCCGGTCCCTGTGTGTGCTGTTTATCCTTGCATTCCTGCGCTGGGGCCGTGCATGTTTTTTCGATGATTGCTCGTTTTTTAATAAATCAGTTTTTGAAGGGGCTTGACGATGGAAGCCTAGGATATGAACGATATGCAAATCGTTTTCGAGCCAGTGTCCAAGACACACCTCGACAAATACAAAGCGCGAAGAAGCCAGTACTACATCTACCAAGCTGCCGCTGAGCTTTGGGCAGAGGGAATGCCTTTTCAAAAGGCAGTCTCCATCGTTTCCAATGCCTTTCGAGCTGCTACGCACGAGGTCTAATGTTGCTTTGTGCAGTTAGTAGCTTGCCAGTTAGTAGCTTGACGTTTTTTTAGCAGGATGTGTTTTTTTAGCAGAAAAGATAAACTTTCAGCGGAGCAGCCTCAGAAACGATATTATTAGAGTCATAGCCGATTGGTTGAAGTGGTGGCACAAATGCTTCCTTCGAAGAAGAGGCATTCTGCACGAAAAGACTGCCAACCAAGATGTGAACCTTTCTGCCGCTGGCCAGCCGCTGGCTGCACAAAGGTCTTGCTTTTGAGACGACTGAAACCAGAAAAAAACATATTGAGCGTATATTTTTGAAAACCCTTTCAGAACCCAGCTGTTTGAGTCAGCGGCCAGTGGTTGAAAACACAAAGTTGTTCCAAGTTGAAGTGTTTTTGTATGTGCAAAGCAACTCTGCGCCGGTGGCAGCTTTCGAGCACCACAATCTGCAGAAAATTTGGGCGCGGCATGGACACTTAAGGGCAAAGCCCGCCGTGCACATCAAAAGGTGTCAGCAAATCTCAATGTAGAACTGCAACCTCGTTTGTGTCAAGGGCCGCCCGTTGTCGACACGAACAGTGTTTGTTGTATATCACCGTTGACACAAAGCATGGGTCAGTTGTTTGTCCGTTGACACAAAAGGTCGGTGTGTGTGTTGGCCGTTGACACAAACAGTTCGGGTTGTGCTGACCGTTGACACAAAAGTTCGGCCACGTTCTGACCGTTGACGCAAAGGCTCCTTTAAAACTTTGTGCTTGGCATATTTTTTGAGAGTGCTTGTTGGCTTGCGCAAGTCCTCGGCGAAGCTTTGCCTGCACAGTGGGGTGAGGACACTATTCGATGGCTACCTTCGCTCTGAAGAAACAGGCAGTAGGCTCACTGCCTTTCATCACCTGTTGCCTTCCTCAGTCAGTTGCGTTCTCAAGTTTTGCCAGGCTGCCCGAGTGAGCTTTTCCACGCTAGCCAACGCTCTCTAGCAAAACCTCTTTGCTATTGCCGGGGTTTGCTGTAAAGCCGGTAGGCATTCTTCCTTTCTTTTGGTTAGCATCTTGGTATGCATCCCTGTGGCTCAAGGTTTTTTTTGGAGTTCTGGTTTAGCCCGATGGCGGGCAAGCGGAACAGCGGAGCCCAAGGGGGCTCACAGAAGAAGAAACCTAAAGGTCCTACCAGGCAATCGCCGGTGGTGACGCCAGTGCTTCAGAGTCGACTGCAGATGGAGATGGCCCCACTGCCATCTTTCGGAACTGGTGGACACCAGATTGAAAGAGATGTTTGCTTAAAGTTTTCCTTTGTTCTTGGACAGATATGGGTTTGTTGAGAACATTTCAGGAATGGAAAGCTTGAAGAGTTCGGTTCCGTAGACAAGTTCTTCCAGACCATCTTCGCAGAACGGGAGAAAGATGTGTTGTCGAACGATGACTTAGTGTTTTTCCATTCAATAAACATTTTCCATACATTCAGCTCAGCTGAAGCAGGAAAAGCTGATCGAGTTCTTGATTTGGGCACACATGGACTTGCCTCCAGAAGATGACAAGCCTTGCTGGCCTAACTTAAGTTGCGCCACCTTGGCGCTGGACTTTTCAAGCTGTTGCTTCAGGTGTTTCAGTGTGTTGATTGCAAGGAAAAGGTTTTTGATTTTGCCAGGGAGTACTGCCGTGAAGGTGATCTCTATACGGTGCAGGGTGTCCATTTGCGACCTACCCACTTGGTGTACTCTCCCAACCTAGGCCTAAAGGGCCTGGTAGAACCGGTCTCAACCTCAAACAATTTTTTCTAGTCTGCGTGACTGTGTGGCAAGGGAGAAAGCCAAAATTTAGGACGCCCACTTGTTGCTGTGTGAGATGATTGTTGCTCGAGGGTCAGTACCTCAGCTATGTCTGTCAGAAAGTTTGAATATGTTGGCACCATTGCCAAGGTTTTTGACCAACCCAGATACTCCGGGAACAGAGAAGCTTGTCATCTCTGCGTGCCGGCCTGATGCCAACATTTGCCCTCCACACACCATCTGCAACGCTGATATTTGTTACAAAGACAAAAAGGGTCTTGCACCGATGAACCTGATGTACGTAAAGGGTTGGAGCAGATCTGTGGCAGCGCTGACCGTTTTGGTGTGCATGTGGCAGTGCCCAGAGTTCAAGCAGGCAGGTCGTTTTATCTGCTATCTTTGGGGTTCTCTCTTCCATTGTTTGTTCTTGGAGTTTTGAAGGCTTGGCCGGAATTTCTACAAAGGACCTTCAATGTTGTTTTTTGATTCAGATTTCATGCCGGTCTTGGGCCAGGACTTTACGAACCCTGTATGCCAATGTGACCGCAGTTCCAGGCAATTCTGCTTCGACAAGCTTGGTGCATGAAAACCGAGGTGTGGAATGAGTTGTTCGCACACCATCAATGCCAGTGTGTTGATTTTGTTGATTTTGGAGGCATCACACTTGCAAGAACAAGTGTGAGACGCAAGCCGAACGCGTTTAACTTGCTCCATCAAATGCGTTTGATGGGCAAACTTGGCGGTCATGTCAGCATCGAGGCTCGGTTGAGTCAGCCGCTGTGTCAGCTGGTTTTTTTTTCATGCGCAGGAGTGGAACTCTTCGAACAAGGTGATGGCAGCCATGCAAGTTGGCCCGAGGGAAGCCACTTCGGCTTACTACCTTCTCCATTGCATTGATGATGACACAGTACACTCACTAACAGAGGCTGTGAAGTGCCAGCCTCAATTCAAGAAACAATATGTTTAGAACCTGTTTGAAATGAATGGCACTGAGAGCCCCTGCATTCCTTAATGTTCGGCACTGAGATCTCACACTATGATCAAGTTTCTGACGCACGAAGCCCTGTCGCAGAAATGGTTCAACAGGAACGAGGTCCTGGCATCGCAGTCGCAGTCTGCTTGGAGCGAGGTGTTGGTGAACACACCTGAGTCGTTGAAGATGCTTTGCTCACGTTTGACCTCTGACTGGTTGGCCCTTCACCCAAAGCTGCGGAAGCCATGGGGTGGCAGCCAAGTGGAAGCTTGGTGATTGCTTGTTGCGGGGGGGGCATTTTGGGAAAACAAAAGCAACTGGAGACAAACACCATCGTAATAGCGATGTTTGTCGCTGTTGTTTCGTAACATTTCATTCAGTGGATATGTATATTCAGCCTGACCTCGTTGCAGGAAACATTGGCAAAGGTTTGTGCTGCCTATGTGGGATGCAGGAAGCTCTTTTTGGACAGGTTTCCAAGCGCTTTCACCGAAGAAGAACTTCCAAAGATAGACAAGTCGTTTTACACTCAGAGGTTGATGTGTTGAAAGATTCATGCAAAAGGTTTCATGGCAGCCTTTGGCCGCCCAAGGTTCCACCTGAAACATGGTGACTGTGAGATCGTGGTGCAGGAGCGAATACTTTGCATGGTAACTGTGAGTTCTTGGCCATTTTCCAGGAGTCAGTTCCTCCCATCGACTTGGACCGCGTGGGTATTTTTCGCAGTGCTGTGAGGAAGTATGAAAAGCAGGCATCGCCAGCCACTGCTGCGCATCTGTGATGTTCAACTACTAGTTGGAGTATTTTTTCAAAAGCCAGCCAGGTCGCTGATGAAAAGCTGAAATCGCAAGAGCAGTGCCTCAACAACTACTTTCAATTGACTTGAAACATGTACCATTTTTGATGTATGACTTGCCTGCCAACAGGTACGCAGACATGATCCAGAAAGCGAACTACCAACAAACGGTGCTCAAGATTGAGGCTGGACAAAGTTGGCCAAGAGGTTGGATCAATATTGGTTGGCCGCCAGGCAGACTTGCAGACTTTGACTACTCACAGTGAGAAGCAGCAGCAAGAAGCCAATCGGCAGGCGAAATCCTGCGCCCGCTGTTTCTTTTTCTAATATAAAGCTGACCAAGACTTGAAACCTTGTTGTGCTCAGGGCGGCCTCGATCTCCAGTACTTGTCCCAGCGCTTCCAGAGAGGCCAAAAGGAAGTGCAACAGTTCATGGACGAGAGGCACACGTATGAAGTTGTTGGGCAGTTCAGTGAAGTTCATGCCAAGCTCTTGGAGTGGCAAGGAAATTCAGGCTCCAACCAAGCGTAAACTGGCTTGCTTTGGTGAAATATAATCAATCGTCATATTTTTTTTTATCAACAAGTGCGGTTCATTGGTGGAACCATTTCTTGCCAAGGTACACCATTATGATCTTGGACCTGTCACTTTGGCCATCCAGAAAAGGCCTCAGACCTGTTAGATGTTACGCAGTGATTTTCCACAGTTTTCTTGGAAGCATGGATTATAAGATAAACAAATAAGAGCCGAAGTAAGGACAAATGGTTATCAATGATGCTGCTGAGATCGCCAAATGCATATGCAACCACAATCCCAAGTCAGTGTTGGTTGTGCTTCACCCAGTGCAACACGCGGCCATTGATCGGGCTTTTGTGTTGCGCCACAGACGCGAAGTGGAGGATCTATTCCAGTCACAGTTGCCTTCTCGCACATTGGAAAAACAACTAAAAACAAGCAAAGTGGACAGGGTAATTTCAAGGTATCAGTCCATCACTCAGGTCTGCGGATGTGGTGGAACTCTCGTTGCTGTTCAAAGAACCGCAACATGCTTCTGACAAAAGGAAGAAGAACCAATATGGACACTTTGAAGATTTGAGGAAACGCATGTTACTATTGTTGTGCCAGAAAGGGTGTTGCCATAGCCATAGCCAAGGAATGCTGGTTACCTCAAACCTTCACAAGGGATCTGGTGGCTTCTCAAAGTCAAAGGCAATGATGGGGACAATTGGTCCGTTGTCGAGATGCCGTGTTTCAGATCTTGTCAGAGAAGACGCTGACTCTCCCCCCAATCCTCAACAGCGGGCTTCTTGTCTTTTCAGGGCGACGATCGGCAGTGCAGTTGCAATTTCATGGGGCCTGCTTTCAATATATGAATATAAATGTATCATATAGATATTTATATACATATCACTCCAAGGCTGCCCAACGAGGGGTCATGGCGACGAAGGAGCTTTTGAAGTGCATT